TAAACTACAAAAGTACTCATCAAACTTTAAGAGAACTTGTATTTTGGTCATTTAATTTTTAAATTTTATAGTACACTCCCTCTTTATTTCTTATTCTTCATCGCCACCTTTTAACCTTTCTAAAGTCCTCCACTCTCTCTAATAAGCATCTCTCTTTCTCTCTAACAACGTTCATTATTTAGTTTTCGGGATTTTCTTGAACCCTTGATGTTACGAGGACTACTCCCCTTCCGCCTGGGTTATTGAGGAAGTGTTTTCTTCAAGAAGAGGAAGACTTTAGTGTCGTGGACCTTAAGCGCAAAAACTGGAAGGAGCGGATTGACAAGGCTTGTTCCTCTAACATGCTTGGGACTTGCAGCGTGGTGAAGATGGCTAAGTTGAATGATTCATTAGATTATGGATACATTTATTTCTTATGAACTATTTTTCAGAAGTGCGCCAAAAGTTGAAGTTTGAACTCACATGCAGGGAGAGAGTACAGATTTTAGTTCAAGGGGTAAAGTATAATTAATAATAGAAAATAGGAGATAAAATCAAAATAAATCAAAATTTGAAGGCATAAATATATAATTATCCCTATATTTTTTAATGGTAAAAAAAAGTTTAGGGAGGGGAGGTGGCCCAAGGGCCTACATTGTTCCTTCCCTGCTCGCATGCCATTAAAAGAAAGAATATTGCAACCAAAATGGTATTTACTAACATCGCCTGCAATTCGTAATATCATATTAAAAATCTCATTATTTTTTTTTAATAGTAATTCATTTATCATATTTGTTAGAAAAATATCTTTAAATTGCAAACGCATGGTTATCTTGTATCCTATCTAGCTCGAGAACATGTCTCACATTTTACATGATACGAGGTACTGTGCACTTTTCATATTACTCAATTTAATATAATTATTTAGTACCTCGTGTTTTACCGAACGCAAGATCCACGAGATATTGAGATATTATTGTTCGTAAAAGTTTCAATATTTAAAATTTGAAAAGATTCTCGTATCTTGCGCTTCATATAATGTGAGGTATCTTTTACCCCTCGTTTCGAGGGAGTACATAGTTCATTATAAACAGGTCACCCATCAACCAGAATTCCTCACACCTTCCTTAAAAAAACTCTCTCTCATATTTTATCTATCATATTATTATGGTCAGACTATTGAGTGTTGATCTTCCACATGTATGCACTTACTAGAGGGAAAATTGACAATAATTTTTATTTATTTATTTATTTTGAATTTATGTATTCAATTATTTATAATTTATTTATTTATTCAACTCAAAATTGTTTGTTTATTTGTTTGTTTCAAAATTATTTATTTATTTATTTATTAATTTTAAGGGATATGAACATTCGTTGATGAGTTTTATCAACCGTTTTTCGTCCCCTAATGACGATATTATTCCATACTTGCATAAAGTCGGATTTGGTTATATTGGCATCGTAACTGATTGTACGTTGCACCCTCCATTGATAAACGCTTTGATTGAACGGTGGAAACGGAGACGCACATGTTTCATTTTCCTTATGGGGAGGCGACTATTACCCTTGAAGATGTCACATACCATCTTGGGTTGTTCGTTGATGGTAATCCTATTACTAATATGGCTCATGGGAACTTGGGAAACTTTTGTGAGGAACTGCTCGAGATACTCGACGAAGGACAATTTGGATGGAAGGAATATCTACATTAAATTTTTGGACGACAATTTTGCGCAGCTCCCCGTCGATGTTGTTCCAGAAATTAAACAAGTAATTATTTAAATATATGTTTATTTATTGTAAATTATTTATTTATACTATTTAAATTTTGTTTTAGTTTATGTTATTGTAAATTGTTTACGATAAATTTTTAATGTATTCGCACTATTTTTATTTTACAATAATTTGCTTGTGCTCATATTTTACAAGTTATTAGGGGTCTTAACACCTGATAAATCATGGAACAAAGTGTATTTGACGTAGTTGTATAATCTACACGATTTACGAGCCTCTAAAAATAAGAGTTGAGGATCGACAGTGTGGCATTTTTGTTCCGAAGCTATATAAAGGTGTTAGTCCAAACAAACAAGCACTTGGAGGCTGTTTGATGTTGTTACAATCGTGGGCTATATTCGAATGCCTTTTTTAACACCGATTCCTTTACAACCGACCCTATTACAGTTTCTCTACTTCAGAAGTAATTACAAATAACCTACTATTAAGGGTATAAAATATAGCGCGTAAAAAGTATTATATTTTATACCCTTTTACCCATAATTATTGTTGAATTTAAGTTTATTCTAGTTGCATTATTAGTCATTCATTTATAATTTAATTGTTTCCTTCATAATTAAGTTTTATATTACATTTTGGTTGATTTGTGATAAAAGAAATATAGATTTATTTCTTTTATTAAAAGATGTTTCTTACATTTTTTTATTTAAAAGAGATTTAATAGCTCTTTTATTGGAATTAAAACTCTCATCCAATAAGAAAAGGAATGCACGCATCTCCTATAAACGAGAAGAGAAGATGAACAAAAAATAGAGGCAGCTAGAGAAAGAAAAGGGAGCACGATCTTCTTCTTTATTTATTCTTTTCATGGGATTGGAAAATCTTTATCTTGTAATCTTTTTGCACCCAACCATGAACTGAAATAATTTGGCTTGGGCTATTGTGATTTTGAGGTTGTGAAACTTTTGGATTTGTTTAAGTTATTGATTGTCTTTTTAATTCAAAGTTTATTCATTCTTTGTTCTTTAATTGACTTCGAGTGAATACAGAGAGGATCTCGAGAGTTTATCCATTTATCTAATATAAGGAGAGTTAGATTAATGAAATGAATGGACACGATCTTCATTTAAAGGAATATTGGTGAAGGTTAATCCATCTTAGGGATAAAATTTGGATTTCAACGACTAAAAGGAGAGCAAGATCGGTTGTTGTTCACCCATGGTTAACGTAGGAATGTATCACCAAAGCATACACAATTGACAAGTCCTTTGAAGTTAAGAATAATAATAAGGCATTGAAGAACGCTCTATCGAGCTTTGAAGGAGGAAACCTAATTGCTTCGGCAATTGAATTATTTTCAGTTGCCAAGACAATCGAGTTGTCTCGGTAATCAACTACTCATACTTTCAGACAGCTGTTACACCACTAATCACGATAACCCAACCTGTTCTCTCATATCAGTATACTTTTATTTACTTTTTCATTTATTTTATTTGTGTCGCGACCATCTTTCGGTTGGGCCCCGGAATTGAGCTTCGACTTGAAATGAGTGGATTGGAGTCGCCACCGACCATTTTAAAACGAATTTAGGTGGTCGGACACCATCTTACTTGATATGCGTTGTACCAGAAACATGTCGGGTTCGGGAGTCGGTTACGGTCAAGGAAGGATTAACACCCTTGAACCGGTTCTTAGTTGCGAAAATTTAAAATTAAAATTAAAATTTAGAAATCCCAATATATATGTATATTGGAAGAAGATTCAGGTTGGCTAGTTGAAGGGTGGATTAAATATACACTTGCGAGAAGTGTACATTTTTATTAAAATTTTGAACATAAATAACCTACTATTATATTTTTATTATTTAGATTATTATATTGTATATTACTATAGATTTAATTCTTATAAGATTAAATTTCGATTAAAAAAATGATAAGATGCTTTTTTTTAAAAAGAAGTATGAATGAGTTTCGAGTAAAAATTAAAATGAATAAACTTTTTAGTGATGAAAAAGAGAAGTAAATTATTACTAACACACTCGTTTCTAGTTATCAGGCGCGAGCACTGGCGGGAAACTCGCACGTGTTAAATATTAAAATATCCATCACGTTTCCGATTCCCGCCCATCTCAGTATCGTCCCAAAAATCTCCAGCAAAATACCTCCATTTTCAATCCCTAACATTTTCTCTTTCCCTCCCTTGTTTTCCCGCTTATCTCTCTACATCCATAATCATAATGAAAACTAGTAACTCGGATCAACTCACGGAGTCACTAAGCCTCTCAGCCACCGAGTCTCAGAAGGCCTGGCATGTTTTTTCTCTTCTCGTCTTCATCGGCAAGCCAACCCCTCTCCCGGAACTCGCTTCCCAGTGCACTCTCTTTGCGGCCAGCCCCGCCATCATATCCTCGCTCTGTTCCATTCCGAACTCTCCAATTTCTATCCCGGACGACAAGCATATCGTTGCTATATCTTCAGTTGGAATTTCATTTTTCGCCGCTTACTTAGCTCGAAATTTCACTGTCGCCAATGCTTTCAGTTCGCTGCCGATCCGTTTCGATGGTTTCCCGAATATATGGCTTCGCAAGAGGAATCGTGTCGGTAAATTCCAAAAAATGACCGTTTATATATTTTTTCACTCTCTTTTTAGTGTAATTTCGTGTTTTATGTTTCCGTGCCTGAACTTTAAGTTATTTTTCAGCTGCTAATTTTGCCGATGACGAGGAGGAAAGGGAGTTGGTTCCTTCGGTTAAGAGAATTCGAAATTATTGTACTAAGGTATTTTTTGAGCTTGTTTTGCACAATAGATCTGTATATTTACTACATGGAATTGTAATATTGTAGTATTTTTTAGATCGATCTGACTGTATTTTTAGTTTATGATGGAAATTGTAGACCTCCGATTTGGATACGCCATCAAGCAAATATGCTTTTAGTAATAATTGTTCATTTTAGAGTTATAGTCTCCAAAGACTAATTGATCAAAATAAAAATTTCAGGTGCGATATCATTTAACTGATGATATCAACAGAATGAGTAGTCCTTTGGTTTTGGTAAAAAACACTCAGATGAGCTCTTGTTTGTTAGCTGAATCTAGTGCCGGACAACTAAGCCGTGAAGTGGAGGGCATTGAAAATGTAGAAAGCAAGGTGAACGTGCCAGACTATATGCTAGGAAATGCTAGTAAAAAATTGGTTGCTAGTGAGTCAATTGTAGAACCGATCATTTTAAGTGGAGAACCAGTTTATGAGATCGAAACTGAGGCTGTTAAACTCAACGTTATAAACTCTATGGAGTTCGCTGAGAAGAGCAATATGTCAGTGGTGCCTGGTGGAAATTTTCGTATGGATTTTACCGTCACAGATTTTAGAATTGCAGACGTTGAAGTGGCTATGGAAGACAGTAAGAAAGAGGAGAAATTTGATTTGACAAGTAGAAGACAAGAAGTGGAAGATCTTTCTCCTTCATTTAACATCAACCTTTCTCATATACAGCCTGAAATAGATTTGAATAAGATGCCGTCCCTAGGTGAGGAATGTGAGATAATATCAACAGCAGCTAGTGTTATGCATTCTGTTACGGAAGAGCAGTTGACAGAACCTTCTGCAAAAGCGAAGGCTAACCAGAGGCATGTTGTGCCTCCAGTATTGCAGACCCTGAACAAGCCTTTAGGGGGTATTAATGTTGTCAGTACTTACAAAAGGAGGAGGCATGGTGTAAAAGATAATTTTCCATCCCGGACTGCACATAAATCAATTCAGAACCAAAAGCATATAGATGTTAAAGAGAGAAGGGGTAACTCTACATCTATTTCTTTTCAGGTAAGCTCACTTCGCCATTTGTAGCTTTCTGTCTCATGTTTGATGTTCTATTGTCTTCATTTTTGCAAGTGGTGTCTATTCAATGAGCCTGAGTTGGCTGCTGTGCATCATTTTGATTATAACTTAAATATTGATCTATGCTTGATTTAGGATCAGGCAAAGCCAAAAGTATTACCTGACTTTGAATTGTATATTGTAGAAGAGGAAGAAGGTTCAGGTACCATAGCTTCAATTTTTTTGCTTGCATATCACATCACATTTGTTCTGCTTATAATTAAGATGATTTATGTATTGGCTAAGGTGAAACTTTAATTGGCAGGTGGTTATGCCACTGTGTACAGAGCTCGGAGGAAGAATGATGGAGCTTTAGTTGCCCTTAAATGTAAGAGTCAAATTCATACATGTGATTGTATTGCTGTGCTGCAATGAGAACTCTTATTTATTACACGTATGGTTCATTTCCCTGATGTTATATTACTTATTTATCTCATTGCAGGTCCTCATGCCAACGCTCATAAGAATTATGTTAACAATGAGCTGAAAATGCTGGAGTGTCTTGGGTAAGCATTTTAGAAAATGTTTGTTTCACTTTAAACAAAACCTTGTTTATAAAAGCGAAGCAGTTTTTATTAAGCTCTCCTTCCCCAGTCTTCCATATTTTTCTTTGTCAATATCAGGGGCAGAAACTTTATAATACGATATGAAGGATGTGTTAGGAGTGAGAATTCTGATTGCTTTGTTCTGCAGTATGTTGAACATGATAGACCGGAGGTAATTATTAGATTCTTTGAAAGCCATAGTTTGTTTTTTCTTCTGCTTGATGGTGAGTTTCCTTCATTTAGCAGGTGTTGAAAAAAGAAATCGATGTTTTTCAGTTAAAGTGGTATGCTTTTTGCCTGTTCAAAGCTCTTGCAAATCTTCATAGACAGGTATATGATTTCCTAGATGTGATGCATCTATTGTAAAAATTACATGGTCTTAATGTCTCTTTATGCATCTGCAGGGGATAATTCATAGAGATGTCAAACCAGGAAACTTTCTTTTCTCTCGTAAGACCAACAAAGGTTATCTTATTGATTTTAATCTTGCCATGGTAAGTATAACTATGTGACAACCTCCCATTATTCTGTGATTGGCCGTTACAATGTTTTCCCTCCAATATTTTTGTGCTCCAGTTTGAGGACCTTTGATTTTGTTTCTTCTGTTTTGACAGGAAATGCATCAAAAGTACAGGAGTACGGGTTAGTTCCTCTTTTTAGAGCTTGAAATTGAGAATTTTATTACTTTCTTACTATAGGAAATGAGGAGAAACTTCTACATATCTTTGTTTTCTTGTCTGTCCTCTATATCCATAAGAATTTAAAAAGAGAGACTTATAAGCTGGCTGTTAACTACGTGCTGCAGCCCTCCTTATCATCCGATTAACTGATCTACTGTGTGTTCAAATGTTTAGTTTGTTGTTTCTTCCGTTACAATCAAATGGTCTTGCTTTCCATTGTGTATTATTTTGCCTTCAAAGTTTCCTGTTCTAGGTACCTTGTACCTCCTGGTTATCATTTTATGATTGATGTGGCGTTCTTATGTATTTCACAGACAAATCAAAGTTGGGATATGCTTTAAATTCTCGAAATACCGTTCCTCCCAAAGCCATTCATCCAACAGATAGCAGCAAGTTTTTAAATATGAAATCAAGGGAGGGAATCAATATAGAGGCAACAAAAGGGTCCAGGTTAACTTTAGAGCCGAAGAACACGAGGAAGACAACAGTTCAAAGGAAGGCTCCTCATAACGACTTGAGTAGCTGGAATAAAATAAATAGTCAGGGTGCAGATGGTTCAGGCATTACCTCAGCAAAGGACGGAAGTGCAAGAACTCCTTCAGCAGAAAGACCCAGAGAACCTTTGCCATGCCAAGGTAGGAAAGAGCTAATCAGTCTGGCACAGGAAGCAATGCAGACCCCCAAACCTGGAGTGTCGCATGTTCCTGCTCCCAGGAGAAGGCGAGTTGCTGCTTCTCCGGCAAAAATGGATAGACAGGTTCTTCATCCTACTCCAATGCCTTTGAATTCAATTAGCTTGGCAATATCTGGAGTTGGCTTATTGAAGAACAAAGGCAAGCATTTTTCGGGTAAAGTGTGAAAATTTGATTCGAAAGAGTAATTTTCCTTAGTAGACTCATCAAATTATATTCACTTTCAGGGGATGGGAAGCATAAGAAAGAAGGTCCTTGTGCTGGAACCAAAGGCTTTCGAGCACCAGAGGTAACAAACAATTAACTTTAATTTATGTTTTGATTTTAAATAAGAAAAGAAAAACCTTAAAGAGGTAGAGAATTTGGAGTTTCCTGCTGGTGCTCTGATGGGTTGAATTCATTATTAGATAAGCTAAAAAGCATGTCCAAAAGAAAATATTAACAGTATATGCCAGGAAGATGTTTTGATAATTGATATTGTTATTTAAATGAATTGGCTCAAGTTGACTGGTTTGTGCAGGTCTTGTTCAGATCTCAACATCAAGGTCCAAAGATTGATGTCTGGTCGGCTGGGGCCACTCTGCTTTACCTAATGACTGGGAAATGTCCCTTTACTGGTGATCCCGAACAGTAATATTTCTTTAACCGAAGCAGCTCGATCCAGTTTCTGTTTGATTGCTTATGTTGCCAACACCTTTGGCACTTTCAGGAACATAAAGGATATTGCAAAACTGAGAGGCAGTGAAGATCTTTGGGAAGTTGCCAAGTTACATAATCGTGAATCCGCATTTCCCGAGGTATAAATACAAGTAAAACGCATGATCTGCTACTATAATCTATTCAGAAGTAAACAGTGGCGTCTCATTCGAGATTTCCAATTTTGATGTAGGAGCTCTATGGTAAGCAGTCTTCAACAACTGTGAATCTAAGGGAGTGGTGCGAAACGAATACGAAGAGACTAGACTTCCTTTCGGAGATACCGAGTTCACTTTACGATTTTGTGGACAAGTGCTTAACAGTGAACCCGAGATTGAGGATTACATCAGAGGATGCTCTTAAGCATGAATTCTTGGCTTCAATACATGAAAATATGAGAAAGAAAAGGGCGTTCAAGCAAGGGAACCAGCTTTGACTCTGAGAGAAAGGATCACCAAGACTTCATGTTTGAAGGTTTCACGAAAGGTTCGTCTGCGGTTAACTGATGTAAATGTATGAGTTTCATCATAGATGTTCAAGTTGTGTAAATAAATGCATTACCAGAAATAGGAAAAAAATGCAAATCTAATATCTAATGTAGGTTAGTATTAGTTGTCATGAGATTTTAATATTGCAGACTACATTTAACATTTTTTATTTTTTTATAATTACATTTAAAAATAACATATTGGTCTTATTTACTAATTTTAATTTTTTATTTTTATATTTTATATAATTGAATTATATTGGCCGTTATTTTGTGGATTTAGGGCTTTCTTTTATTTATTGGGTTTAGGGGAGTTTATTCGAAGTTCAAATGGTAGGAAATATTTTTTTGAGAAGACAAACAACACATTAAGGTTAATCATCTTGAATGATTGTTGGAGGATATTGGGACATTAAAATGTCAAACTTTTAGATGAATCTGTGATAATTTTGAGTGAGTTTTGTGAAAAAATTACTTTAATGAGAATAAAATGGAATGAAATGTGAATGTTTTAGTGTTGAAATTGATATAAATGATTGGTGATCGATGATTGTATTGGTGGTTGAAGAAGTTTGATAATTTTTTTGTATGGATCAAATTGATACGTAAACTAAAGTTTGGTGATAAAATTAATATGTAAAAAAAATTACATGAAAAATAATTATATCATTTTGTTTTTAATAATAATTCGATGATTTAATATCTTAACTAAATCTTAAATTAAAAATAGCAAAAATGACATAATTTAAAGTTTAATAACAAAAATTTAAATAATTTAAAATTGAATAGTAGTCATTGTAATTTATCCTTCTATAGTTTTATTTATGTGATATGTTTGAAAATATATAATAATAATAATAATTTTAAAAATAAAATATTAACATATTAGATAAACTATGCATTTAGTGTCTAAATTATTAGTTTTAATCGTTTTAGTATCTAAACTTTCATTTTTTTCAAAACTATACTAACATTTAGTTTTCATTTCATTTTAGTATCCGTTATTAAAAACTTAATGTATTTAGTACCTAAACTATTATTTTTGGTTCATTTTAGTACCAAACTTTCAAAATTTTAAAACTTAACATTAAATTTTTAATGGGGGTTGTAAAATGAAACAAAAAAAAATTAAGGGTAGATACTAAAATGAAATAAAAATTAAATGTTATGTATGATTTTAAAAACTAATAAAAGTTTAGATACTAAAACGCATCAAAATTGGTAGCGTAGATACTAAAGGCACAGTTTTACCCAAAATATTTTATACGCAACAATATCATAAGCAAAATAATATTAACTACCGTGTTCCTGGAAGGATCAGATTAATGAAACACATCGCAATGTCCTTTGTATTTCCCGGAATTGCCATTGATGACGTTAGCACTGAGATGAAGTGGCAATTTTCTATTGGTTCACGTGACGTAGCGCATCCGCATCCGTAAGATTTGTCTCCATTCGTAGCGAAGCCAACTAAGCATGATGCTCTTGTTAATTCAACCGACGAGACCTCGAGTTTTCCAGAACCCTTGCCCTACACAATTTCCTCAATTGCCCCTTAAGTTTTGTGAAAAATCCAGGGCTTTCTAGTAACTTAAAAACACAAACGACCCTTATAAATATCGTTATCCACGTTGCGAGTTTAATACAAAAAAGACGGTATTTTCCCTTATTTTCCCTGTGGATTTTCTAGAGGTTTATTCCTTCAGATTCTCTTTGAATTTGCTTGAGATTCCCCCCAATTTCTTTCACTACAAACAATGGATGCGTTCTCTTCATTCTTCGAATCCCAATCGAGAAGCAGATGGAGTTACGATACTCTCAAGAATTTCCGTCAGATCTCTCCCGCTGTCCAAACTCATCTCAAACAGGTAATCTTCGCTCAAATTCTTCTTCTTTTGAGGCTAAGTTAGTTTCTCAAGTTTGATGTAATGTTTTAGCTTGATTTCTTTGAATTTGCGTCTAATTTGTTAATTATGATTCTGCATGATGGGTTGCTTCTTTCTTGAGTTCCAAGACTGATAACGAATTACAGTTCTCATCTTTATATGATTATAAAATTCTTATCATGATTTTTATCGTTTATTTTTAATACAATTTGTTTATCAAAAATTTGTTTTCTTGATTATCCGAGCGCAGCGTTTCTAATTTGCAGGTTTACTTGACCCTATGTTGTGCACTGGTAGCCTCTGCTGTTGGAGCTTATCTCCACATCCTTTGGAACATTGGGGGTTACCTCACCACATTTGCATGCTTGGGAACCATTTATTGGCTCCTCTCCACCCCTCCTTATGAAGAAGTAATAATCTTTCTTCATTTGTATTAGATGATTATAGTTCTTTTTGCATCGCTTAGAGGTACTCATCTTTTGTTTTGGTATTGTTAATTCTTCAGCAAAAGAGGGTATCTCTTCTGATGGCATCGGCAGCGTTCCAAGGGGCGTCAGTTGGTCATCTGGTTGACTTGGCCATTCAGATTGACCCAAGGTATAGTATCTCATGTAACAATTAGAATCATGGTCATTCACATTGGGAGGCTAATATTAACCTTGGCTGATGACTTGTGTGCCTAATTTTTGTTTACCTTTTCCATAATGACAGTGTTTTGGTAGCTGCATTTGTGGGAACAGCGTTGGCCTTTGCATGTTTTTCAGGAGCAGCGATGTTAGCAAGGCGCCGAGAGTACCTTTACCTTGGTGGCTTGCTTTCATCTGGTGTGTCCATGCTTCTCTGGTTGCATTTTGCTTCCTCCATCTTTGGTGGTTCCACATCACTCTTTATGTTCGAGGCAAGTGAATATATCAGCTAGACTGTCTGTGGTGGTGTTGTATTTTGAAGTTGCCATTGACGTTCTTCTCTTGCCTTTGATTCTTCTCATAGATCTACTTAGGCTTATTGGTGTTTGCGGGATACATGGTAGTTGACACGCAGGAGATAATCGAGAAGGCACACTTGGGTGACCTAGACTATGTGAAGCATGCCCTGACCCTTTTCACCGACTTCATAGCCGTATTTGTTCGCATTTTGGTGATCATGGTGAGTCAAGCTTTCTTTTAATATCTTCAATGGCTGAATCATGTTTAACTTGTCACTGTGGTATATACTAACCAACACGAAACATTCTTGTGTTTTAGTTGAAAAATTCGGCGGAGAAGAGCGAGAGAAGGAAGAAGAAGAGAGACTGAGTTGCCAGGCAGAAGCTGAGGAAGTGCACTCATGTAACATGAAGTTAGTTGTCAATACAAGTTTGTTTCTTGCTCTCTGTACTAAATCAACATGTTAATATGCATAAATTTCTTTGCCACAACTATGCCTCATTGTATATTAAAAACAATCTATGAACAGAAAGGCATAATCCCCATAATATTAACTGATGGAGCGAATATATAATAAATGGTGAGAAAAGAGCGTAAACATCGACTTATCGTACCTCTCCAAGTTCCAACTCTTCTGGTTTCACTAACTATGATTTTCCATTGAACGAAACTCACCAACTCCAGCTGCACCTACTGTGATTTGCTGGACAATTGCTTTTATATTGCATCAGCAAGTTGTTTGGCCCAAAGCTGCTGACTCACTGTCATGATCACTGCTTTAAACTGAGAGTATTGTTTTTATTGTGGTTATAACAATAAGTGGTGGTGTTACGACAATGCAAGTATTATAGATTTATAGTTATGCATAACTAATAATTTTGGACGATATTTTTATCATTATATAATGATTTTTTATCAGATTGGTGTTTAAATTCTTGGTTGTAGTGTTAATCAAAAGTAAGAGTGATGGTCTGGAATTGATTTACCTGGACGTATTAACACGTGAATACGGAATCATCATTTTACGTGTATATTTTAAATGTATAAATTTGAACGAATCAAGTTATCTATTAATTAGAGGGATGATTTTTTTTAGAGATTTTAGATACGAATACCTGAAATTTTAAAAATAACATTTTTTAACCATTTAATCCCTACGGGATTCTTTTACTATATTCTTTAAGAACTAATATGAGATGTGAGGTTGAGTAGTCTTACCTACCAAAACGGTACGTATTCATGTTCCCAAACATGTACTAACATATTCAACTAGCAATATTCATCAACATGGACTCCCAATAGTTTGTATTTTTTTAGGAAAAGAAACAAACTACAAATTTAGCGATTGAGATGTGTAACAAACACTTTCATCGTTTGATTTGTTGAAGGAGTTGTTGGTCGGTCCAAGGTTTGACTTTATGAACATTGAAATCAAATTTTAGAAACGTGTTTGATTCTTTTAAGAGTTGCATGTTAACATCCCTTTCCGCTCTTTTTTTTTTCTCCCTCCCCGCCTTTTTGCTTTGCATTTGTATCAATTTTATACATCAGATAAATTTTCTTCTTCTTTGTTTTTGTCTAGTTAGCATCGGTTTTGACGTTGATTATCGACCGTCGATTCTCTTTTTTCTTTATTTTTTTTATTTTGTTATTTAAAAAAAAGAATAATTATGTTTTTGTGGTCATGTTTATCTCTGTCTTTGTGACACGTTTTTTTTCCTTGATTGTTTTTTATTTATATTTTTTTAGTGTTGGATTTGACGAAGCGACGACTGGTCAAAATTTGGACGCAGGATTTTGTGTTCATGGATAGTTTCTCAAGACGCTCGGTTTTAATTTGCGGTTCTCGGTGGTCTTTCAATAGTTTAATTCCCTTTTGTGGGTTGTTTGTCGATGCAATCAGATTTACTTGTATATATTTTGTTCGAGTCTTTTGGTTGAGTTTTTAACCTCTTCCATGTATGGTCTTTATATGATCTAAAGTGGCAAATTTCAATGTTATATGAAAAACCCAATTATATATTTAGTCGACGATGATAGTTGTAAACTTTTTATTGTAATTTTGATTTTGATTTTATTTTTTTAATAATACTAGGGGTTTATATTAAAAAAAGGGTTACATGTAATAGTCGTTTTTAAATTATAATACACAATTTAAACTAATCTTTTAATTTTTGAATATTTTAGTTATTCTCAAATTTTGATATATTTCAATGTCATCCCTAATTTGTGATCTCATTTTAGATTATTCCCCGAACTTTTGAATTTTTTAAATTTCAGCCACAAATTCACTCAAATATGAAAATTGATTTCAACCATAGTCTAACACATTTCTTCAAACATGTGATAATATAACTTGACCTAATGATTTCATTATATGGGATGTGATTAACTCACACCAATAGTTTGGGATGAAATTGAAATATTTAAAAATTGAGGACCAATTCAAAATGATATTCATATTTAGGGATGTAACTAGAATATTTAAAAGTTTGAAGAGTAAATTTAGGATGAGAGTTATAGTTTAAATACTACATTAAAATGTTTAAAAGTTTATGACGATTTAAAATGAAGACCATGACTTGAGAACATGTGATGTAATTAAATACTTTTTGATTAAATAGTTCTATAACTATGTGTTATTTTATTGATCATAACTTTTAAAAGTTACAAAATGATCCCCAACTATATGACATTGATTTGTTGAAACACAATAACTAATAAAACTTTCAAAATGCACCGATTATTTATATATTTTATACTCATATTTTTTCGTTAAAAAGTCTATGACAGTTTGAATTTGATGTTAACTTATTGATTAAGATGTGATAGTCATTTGAAATTTTAGGATAAACTTTTATCATATTATAGTCAACATATTAACGTCCAACTCAGACTGCCGTCAATTTTTAACAAAAAATAACGAGTTTAAATATATAAATAATCAGATGATCGTTTTATAACTTTTAATAATTGAATACTCAATGAAGTAATACCTTATAATTAAAAAATTATTTTATAATTTTTAATAGTTAAAATACTTTAAAAAAAACCGAGAAATAATTTATATAGTTTATCCTTAAATTAAATTCGGTAAATCAAAGCTCTTTCCCCCCCTGGTTATTCTAATAGAAAATTCCCTTTCCTTGAAAGTCCGGTCGTTTCTGGCGTTTCGATGCTTTTCTTTTTTGAACAAACGGAAAAGAAAAAGCTACAGATTTATTATTAAAAAGAGAGAGCACCGTAAAAATTGGATTTTTCATCCTCTGATCAGATCAAACCAATCTCAACCGTCAGATTAATCAGCTACCTTCTCCCTTTCAACAGACACTTTGTGTTCCTTTATAATCCCCTCTGGGCTTCTCTCGCAATCTCTTACGGGTTGTTTCGTTCTTTTGAAGAGAGCACAGATTTCCAAGGTCCCTCTGAAAATTTCGAATTTTTCGATCCGTAAGTTTCTGAGTTCTTTGTTTTTTATTATGTAATTGAAAATTTGCGAGCTTTAATATATAATAATAATAATAATAATAATAATAATAATAATAATAATAATAATAATAATAAATGATTGTTAATTCTGTTTGTTTCGTGGAAGATCTATGATTCAGTTGTAATTACGTTATTCAAATTTCAATAATTGTTAGCTTATATGCTTGATTTAGTTGGCACATTTGTTTCCCTTTCATTTTGGTTTCTAAGCTAATTCAGTTTTGATGTTGCGAATGAACATGCAGGGTTTAAAATGGTTTTGCTGAGAGAACACGGTAAAGCCTTGGCGCTTTAGCCTAGCAGCTGCGTTTTCGTTTCTTTTTCTTGTTTCTCTTTTTTCCCCCAGTAAATGGGCTGCTTTCAATCTAAAGTTACAAGGCAATACCCCGGACACGAAGACCCCATTGTTCTCGCTTCACAAACTGCTTGTATGTTTTTACAAATGGTTATCACTTCGTTCATTGCATTTATTCTATTCAGCTTGGAATAGATTATGTAGTTTGGTGAGCTTTTCCTATTTATATGATCTGAATTTGACATACTTGATTGGTTTTGTTCTGTAGTTAGTGTTAGTGAAGTGGAAGCACTCTTTGAACTATTCAAGAGCATCAGCAGTTCGGTGATCGATGATGGGCTGATCAACAAGGTACAATGTGGTTCGAGATTAAGATTATCATGCCCGATATCATGCGCGCGTCCGTGTCGATGATGTGTTGCATGACTTTGCTTCTTGTTTGCGTTCCTTCATTGTGTTTCTTTGACTTCGGTTTTTCTTGAAGTGCCTGCATTTGTATTCATGTCCACATCTTGGACATGGATACATGAGGATGTGGTCCTCTAAATACGTGAAAAAACTTAGAAAATGTTGAACATTTGCCCGTCTTGTATCTGCTATTCACACCCTAGCCAGAGTAACGTAGTCCCTCCCCGCTTCTGTAGCATTGGAGGAATTTTTTTCACAGTTCCTTTTTCTTCTGTAAAAACTGAAAATTTACATGCGAAGTTTGATGCCTTTCTAACTCTTCTGTTGTATATGCAGGAAGAGTTTCAATTAGCTCTGTTCAAGAATAGGAAGAAAGAAAACATTTTTGCAAATCGGGTAATATATTTTGTTGCCTTATATTGTTATTGGAAATTCAATATTATTCAAGTTTCGAGTATTGTTTTGCTTTGTCTAAGTTATGTTGGATGGCCATGTGATGCGTAGCAATGGGCGACTGGGCTGCATGATTATAGGTATTAGGTTGCATGATTTCTTACCCAAGTTGGAGTAGCGCATTTTAACCAGTCTTAGTTTTCTTCTATAAAGATGAATTTATTTACCTATACGAAAATTATGAATTGGGTATCCTGGAGAACAATTTAAGATTTGAATTGGATTATTTATGCAACCTTCTGATACATGCAGATCTTCGATTTATTTGACGCGAAGAAGAAGGGAGTCATTGATTTTGGTGACTTTGTTCGAGCACTCAATGTCTTCCATCCAAATGTCTCACAAGACGACAAAATTGACTGTAAGTAAACAGTTGATATGATCTTGAATTCCCAAATTGAGTTAATCTTCCATCTTATTTTCTAAGTTGATTGTTCATTGTTCTACATTTCAGTTGCATTTAGACTTTATGACATGGATGGAACGGGTTTTATCGAGCGGAATGAGGTATGTCGGTACTTGCATGTTTTCTTATTTATGTATCATGCAGAGCAGAACTGGTTTTGATTCCACTACACTTTTACTACAATCTCTTACAGGCAACACTATCTTGCAGGTCAAGCAAATGCTGATCGCACTTTTATGTGAATCTGAAGTGAAGTTGGCCGATGAAACCATCGAGGCGATTCTTGATAAGGTGAGAGCTTGCTGTGGTATGGTTGCGTAAAGTTGGTTTCTATTATACTGTTGAAAATCTGCATCCATGTCCGGCAATCATTTTGTTCAGAATTCGGTTTACAGTCAGAATAGAGGAAAGATTCCTCTTCATTTGGCAGTGTAATTAAGTTGTACCCATCAATGCATGCAATCTGCAACAATTTACTGACCCATGGCAATTTGGGAGCAGACATTCTTGGAAGCTGACATGAATCAGGATGGAAAGATCGATATATCTGAATGGAAACACTTCGTATCACGAAACCCATCACTTTTGAAAATCATGACCCTTCCATACCTGAGGTATGCTTTTCTTTTACCAACGATTACTCGTAGAAACTGTATCTCTCTGGGGAATTGATCATTTTTTAATATGAATCGTGCAGGGATATAACGACGACATTTCCGAGCTTCATTTTTCATTCCGAAGTTGACGAGATTGCCACATAATTGTCGGAGTATGTGATGGGCTTTAGCATGTTCATGCATGCATTAGGTTGAGATACATTTTTTTACATGATTTGTGTGAAGAAAGTAGGCTTTAGATGTTATGAGGCTTAAGCTATCAAATATGATTAACATTGCTAGTTGATTGTACAGGGCATTATGGTAATTCGCCTTTGCAAGTTTTCCTTATTTCTGATTCACATTTTTAATTGAATTGGATTGTCCTAAATCAATCGTAGTAGTATCATATCGATGTGTATTTTGTTCCTTATATGTACGAGGACAAAAATGGAATTCAACTCAGTGTTAAATAATTATTATTTTCACTAATAAATATAAATTAATATATCTTTTAGATTTTTTATGTATTTTTTTTATTAAAAGTATATATTTATCTCATTGAAATTTTAATATTTTATTATTTAATAATTAATTTATGTATTTTGTTGTGTTTGAGGACAGATTAGTATGATTTAATATGGTTGAATTTTCTAGATACTCATAATTTCATTGAATTGTTTGTCCATTCAATCAAACTAACAATTATTATTAGTTCTAAAATGAAAATAATGCTGTCTATAATGTCTCATATAATTTTAGATTTTAATGATTCAACTAGTCTTATTGTATTAGATTTTAAATAAGATTATCACAATAAAAATAAGAGTAATTTATTTATTTAATTAACTATTTACTTTTATGTTTTAATTTTATTATATCTCATATAATTAATAATTTTATTTAAAAACAAGATCATCAAGTTGTGTCGAAGCTGGGCTTTCGGAGATTCATGCTCTGAGTGCAGTTCTATCTTTGGCAAGTGAATATCGGTGGACGCATGTAATCTTTGAATCGGATTCAACGTTTGTAGTCAACAAAATGTCTTGAGCGGAGGACTTGTCCACATTGTGTTATCATTTTTAGGAAGCTCGTAGGATTTTGGATGCTAATTTAAGTTATAGAGTGTGTTTTGTTCCTAGACCTTGTAATATTGTGGCATATACTTTGACTAAGTAGAGTCTTCGTTATGGAAACACATTATATTTGGACTCGATTTGTTCCAAGATTATTACATATGCTGTATCAAATTGTTTTTCTTATGACAATACAAGATCTTAAGGGCACTATTTTCTCCTTATAGGTCTTAAGAAAGAATTTTTAAGGAAGCTAGTTTTCTTTCAAAAAAAATGTTTTTTATAAAAATTATATTTAATATTATATTTTTATTTTGATGATTCATTATTAAAAAATTTAACAAAAAATAATAGTGTATTTTTATATTATTTTTTATCATTAAAAAAGTAAATAATATATCGTTTATTTTATTTATTTTATTCAACTAATAAAATACATTTAGCTAGCTTTAGAACTTATAGATCCATTTATTTATGAAATAGGAAGTTTAGAGTTCATAAATTGTAACTACCACTGAAAACCTAGATTTCGGGGGAAAGCAGGTGTCATTTGCGACATTTTACCGCTATGAATCGGCGATAATCGTAGCAGTTACTATCACCGGCAAATAACAAGAAGGGATAATAAAGATGTACAGAGCAGAGAGAGCGGCCGGTGGGTCCAAGGTGGGAGAGGTGGGGTCTGTGGATCGGAAGCGGATCAACGAGGCGCTTGATAAGCAACTGGAACGATCGCCGCCGTCTACTTCAAGGGCGACCAACGGCAAGGATAGTTCCGCACACTCCCTTCTCATGGGGAAGCATCCACCTGATCACCGTCGCGACTCTCGCTCCGGTTCTCTACCCAAAGTTAACGCCTCAAATGGTATGATTATTAATCACAATTCCCTCTTTCAGTTATTACAGTTTTTTTTATAGAGAAAATGGCTTTTTTTTGTCCTCTCCGTATGAGGAATTGAATTTTCTGCAACCTTTATTTAATTTTATAATTAAGATTGTACGCTTTCTTCATGATTTTCTTTGCTGCCTGTTTGATTCTAATGATATTAAGTTTGCCCAAAGGTTTGGAATTTTGATTTCTTATTGTTATTAATATCATTAATGGTGTTGGAAAATAAATAGTAATACATTCGATGCCTATATTTTTTACACTAACATTTTTAATTTATACTGTCACATTGTTTTCTTTGATGAAATTATATAGATATTTTTATGAATAAGATGTCCTAGAAAATCTTTGTTTGTAGCTCCAATGCAGTATCAGCATTGAAACTAAAGTTGGTTTTATCTTCTTTTTCCCCCCTTTTAGAGGGAGCATTCAATTTCCAAAATGGAACAAAATGCATATTTGCTTTATGAACATCCATATTTTAAGTTTCTAAGGTCGTACTTTTATCATTTCATGATTATGCAGTAAGTATATTCTTCGTTCTATTTTTTCCTTTGGTAACTTTTTTTTATGGCATCGCTTTCTTATATTGGTTGTTGTTGAAATATGCTGGTGAAATTTTGATTGCATTAGTCACAGAAGAATCTGAAACCGAAACTGAGGAGTCAGATGTTAGTGGTTCTGATGGGGATAAAACGTCTTGGATCTCATGGTTCTGCAATCTACGAGGAAATGAATTCTTTTGCGAAGTCGATGATGACTATATACAAGATGATTTTAATCTTTGTGGGCTAAGCAGCCAAGTTCCTTATTATGATTATGCGCTCGATTTGATTCTGGATATTGAATCTTCACACGGTAAGTACTAGGTATACAATATGTTTCTTCCCATGTCAAGTTGCTTAGAGTGTGTGAAAGTTCGATTGTTCTTGTTTTTCAGTTTTTGTTAAAGTCTTTGAGTGCCATCCTGTTTTTCATATTTTAGTGTGTTAACAGTAGTCTCATTTATGTCCTTTGAAGCATCTGGTTTCATGATTAGTTTCATTCTAATTTGACTGCTTTTAAATATCGAAGATGCCGAGTTTTTCAATTTTTCTAAATTTAATGTTCTTGATGGCATTTTAATTTAACTGTGACATTATTTATGTCATCTATAACAAGGTGAGTGTCTGTTTCATGTTTCTTTCAATGAGTAATTTGTGTTGGGCTGACATTGATAGGAGATATGTTTATGGAGGAGCAAAATGAATTAGTCGAATCTGCAGCTGAAATGCTTTATGGTCTGATTCATACCCGATTCATATTGACAAGCAAAGGAATGGCTGCTATGGTGAGAAGTTTGTCACGGTACTCAATGTTACAGGTTCATTTTTACTTGTCAATATATAAAATATTACAACAATGTTTTTGGAACTTCTACAGCTAGACAAGTACAAGAACTACGATTTCGGAAGATGCCCATGAGTTTACTGCTGTGGACAACCGTGTCTTCCGGTAGGTCAATCAGATTTCCCTCGGTTGAGCACCGTAAAAGTATACTGCCCTAGATGCGAAGACGTTTACTACCCTCTGTCCAAGTATCAAGGCAGTATCCTTTTGGCAACTGAAAATTATTTGCTACTTGTCGTTGCATGGATGCATGCATGTCATGAATAAGGCTTTCCTACCTGCCACTTCGGCGCATTGATGAGAGTCACATGATGAATGTTTATATTAGTAAATATTTGGTGGTTATCAGCCAATGCATCTTGGTAGGGGAATTGCAAATGTTTTGATGATATATTTCTAACTTTTCTGCCTTTGTGTAATGAGTTAGTTTACCTTAATTCTATCTAGACATCGATGGAGCCTATTTCGGGACCACGTTTCCGCACCTGTTCCTGATGACGAACGCGCACTTGAAGCCTCAAAAGGCAAGTCAAAGCTATGTTCCAAGAGTATTCGGGTTCAAGCTCCACAAACCTTAATACTGTGATTAAAGCTCCCTTGTGGCTAAATAGTTCGTTACGAGTTTATAGTCCGAGGCTTCTATTTCCGGAAGCACTGCTGTCAAAAAGTCGGGTATAGTTTGGTAGTTTTCAGGTAATACGTTTTAGATCATTTTCATATGTTCCGAATGAATTAACATAGAAGCATATCTGCAACCACCAAGTATTAGTTTTCGATATCATCAGCCTTTCCTGTCAGCGTAGTCCGAATCTTCATTTTTAGGTAGAGTATCTGTTAAACTGCCTTTAGCTTCACCCTCTGTCGTACTTCGATGATTTTTCCCGGAGTCCATCGCTCTTCGTATCGCCTCGTACTCGCTGTATCTTATATCGGGTATCACTTGTAAGAAAGAGTTCATTATGGGTCAATTGTCTCGTATGCATTTTCGTAGAATGTTTCTTTTTGAATCAATTTGCTTGCCTCCATGAAGATTTTGTCCAGATGTGCAAAAGCTAAAGCCTAGAAGGAAATGCAAGTAAGGCTCTCATCAACTTTCTGCCCCTTATCAGTACCCAAAACAACTATACCTGAATTATGTTAAAATGTTGTTTTTGATCATTAATTTTTTAAAAATTCTCAAAATAGTCTTTTAATTTTTAAAAATAAATTGAACAAATCAAGTACGTACTTTACCCTAAAATAAATTGAACAAATCAACACATTGAACTCCCTTAAGCCGGTTTTAATCAATCTCTGCTGCATTCTGTTCACACCTTGTCGTATTTTTAAGGTAAAATTAGACAAAGAAGTCAGCTTGAATGATGAGAATCTGTCGGCAAAAGGGAAGTTGTTTTTAATTAGTATGAGACGAGATTATAAAATAATATTGTTCATAATCGTTTAATTAATGATAATGTTTTCGTATTTTGTAGACAATTATTTGAACTCAGAATATCAAGGAAGAGTAATTTTTCCTTTCATTCGTTCGTCGAGGGGGTTTATACAAAATTTATCATTGAATTGTTATTATACTAAAATAAAATTATATAAAAGATTAAATTTATTAAATTATTAGTAAGATTATATTGATAGGATGTATAAAATTTAGAGATTAAAATTATTGTTATATTTTTATATATTATTTTAATGATCATTATATAATAAATTTTAATAAAATAGATTACTCATTTAGGCAACAAAAGACAATGGAAGTTGTTTGAATTCAAATGCCAATTACTTGAAAGCAGTTGGCCCTTCGTATCCGTTTCTTGGGA